GAATCCTAACATGGTGGCTGTCCCTGTGTTGCAGCACTGCCGAGCGCCTCCTGCCAGGGGCTGAGTTCCACCAGTACGTGAAGGGCCAGCACAGTGTTGTGCGCTCCCCGCTCCCCTACACTGTCCCCAAGGAGCTGGCTGAGCACGTTGACTTTGGTACGTCCTACACAGGGGAGCTGAGCCTGCCGAGAGCTCCCACTGCCTGGGGTGCGGGTGGGAGGTTAAGCATTGAGCAGCCAGGACTGGCCATCTTGGTGTCCCAGAGGACAGTGTGGCCGGTCCTCAGGCCATGGTCCCGGCTGCCCCCAGGTCGTTCTGAGGAGCTTTGTGCGTAGGACGTAGATGCCCCATCCTTGGAAGCATTCAAGGTCAGGTTGTAGGGGGCTCTGAGCAACCTCATCGAGTTGAAGATGTCCCTGCCCGTGGCAGGGGATTGAACTAGATGGCCTTTAAAGGTCCCTTCCAACCCAAACCATGTGGACAAGCAGCATCCAAAGTGTTCTTTGTGTTTCTTACTGGTGCTCTTGGGCCTGGGTGCTCAGTGCAGAGAGTTCAGGTTCAGCCTGTGTCTGTGGACGTGCAGCTGCTTCTGAGGTGGAAAAACTCCCTCCTGTGAGACCCTTTTGTGTGGGCTCCCACGGCCATTCCACGAGGGGAGCAGAGGGGTGCCAAGCTGCGGTAGTGGCCTGGCAGTGGGGAGACTGAGCTGTGCAGCCTGGGAATATCGGTGAGGACTGACGAGGAAGCCGAGGGAGCACTTCCCACCTCCTGTGCAGTACTTGGGGCAGGTGCTGTAGGGGATGGGCTCCCTGGAGTCCTGCTGCAGGCCAGCCCTCTCAGATATGAAGCCTGAGTGAGGATGATGAAGGGGGAACCAAGGGGCCATAATACTGTCCTCCCAGAGCTCTGGGCCCTCACAACTGCTGCTTTTCCTGCTTGCTTCCACACCAGTGGGTGGCCTGCACCGGTTCCCTGCGGAGAGAAAGGTGGTCAGCAGAGCCTGGGCCAAGAAGGAAACCGAGTCAAGGCAGCACTACGGAGGGAGAGCGGCTTTCCACCTGGGCGTGACGCCTTCCATCATTCGTAAGAGATACAACATGACAGGAGAAGACATTGGGCTACTGCCAAACAACAGCCAGGCCTGTGCCCAGGTAACTGGTAGAGCTGGTTCAAGTCAGAAGCCCGTAGGCCATGGAAATTCCACACACTGGTGCTTCTCCAGCACCTTGCTGCTCTGGTGGTCCCAGAACAGCTGTGGGAATTCCTCGGAGGCTGGTGGGAGCACCTGGTGGTGCTAGCGTTTCACAGACCCATGCTGGGCCAACTTTCTAAGTCAGGAGAAAAAGCTTACCTGTTTTTTTCAAGAGGAAATGAGAAAAAACTTGTCCACTCCTTGTCCCCCCAGTTCTTGGAACAGTATTTCCACCAGTCTGACCTGGCTGAGTTTATGCAGCTCTTTGGCAGCAGCTTTGGCCACCGCTCTCAGGTTGACCAAGTGATTGGGCACCAGGGCAAGGGCAAGGCTGGGCTGGAGGCCAGTCTGGACGTGGAATACATCATGAGCACGGGTGCCAACATCTCCACGTGGGTCTTCAGCAATGCAGGTACTGATCCCCCTCCAGAATTGCCCTGTGACTGCTTCCATGCATCCCACTTGCTGCAGCACAAACACACCTGCCTGCTGTTCAGGGAAACACTTGCTCTCTGCATAAAAATGGCTGTACTGAGCCTGTCTAGTATCTGTCAAAGGGGAATGCCTGGAGGGGCACACACCAACGGCACGCTTGCTGTGGCACATCCCCGGAATGCTTTCCCAGCTACTATGGGAGCATACCTTGTGGGCTTCCAAAGTTGGAGCTGATGCTGGTTTCTAATAGCTTATAGGGAAAATATCTTCCATTGAGTTGTGTACTTGGTTTTGAACCCGTGTGAACTTTCAGCATCCAGACTATCCTGTAACAGAGACTTCCACACCTTGACTACACAGCGTAAAGCAGTCACCCCCCTCTGCTGCCTTTCCATGGAGGGAGAGGATAGCAACTGTGTCTTACTATTTTTTTCCTGCTGCTTTCGGGTTGAAGCTGATCTCTCACCCATGAATCTGCCCATAGAGTGGATAAAGGAGAGTAAGGGAATTTGAGAAAACAAGGTTGCAAAACAGCCTGCACAAACATGGCCACGGTGCTGTAGGACGGTGTCACCTGTCCTACATCAGAAACTGGCTGAACAGGAGACAGAGTGCCCTTAGGACTACCAGCTCTGTCTTCCTGATGGTGAAGGCAGGCACGGCTCTGCATTAACTTCCGCCTCCTCCGTGCAGTTAGTGATGTGGAAGGGTGAGCAACTGAGAATGAGAGGAGGTGGCTGGGGCTCTGCTCTCCCCGCCTCACAGAGAGGGATGAGGGGCAGGAAGGGACCTTGGCAGATGGAGGTGGAATGTACATTAAACTGCTCTGGGACTCGCTGTTATGCGTAGAGGGGCGAAAGCCTGGCTGAGTCTCAGCAGGGCTGCCTGGCTGCCACGGGTGGCTACAGCCCTGCGACAGCGGCTCAGAGGAGGAGTGGATGAGTGTAGGCCCCCTGCTCTGGGGTTCAGGGTGAGCCCTTCACCGGACTCGCTGGCAGAGCTGGAGCCTGGTGCCATCTACCGTGACAATCCCCAGGAGCAGCCGTGCTGCCAGCAAGGGCTCACGGGAGAGCTCCAAGCCAGCTGTGCTGGGGACCTGCTCTCTGTAGGCAGGGCAGGAGTTGGAGGGCCTTCAGCTCCTGGTGCTAGTCGTGCTGTTGAGGCATGGTCCCCCCCTATGCTATCCGCCGCTTCCCCTCAAGCCTGGTGTCCTAGGAGGAGCTGAACCTGCCCCCCCTCTGTCTCTGCAGGGAGGCACGAGAGCCAGGAGCCCTTCCTGGCCTGGCTGCTGCTGCTCAGCAACATGTCATCGCTGCCTTGGGTGCACTCTGTGAGCTACGGGGACGACGAGGACAGCCTGTCACTAGCCTACATGGAGCGTGTAAACATGGAGTTCATGAAGGCAGCTGCCCGAGGCTTGACCATCCTGTTTGCCTCAGGTGCATGCTGTTGCTGGCACGGTGCGGGTGTGTCCGAGGGACCCAGCACAGTGGGGAATCTCCGTGCTGAACACTGAACAGGGATGCTCTGCCTGTGTGCAGCCAGGATGCCCTGCCTGGGAGTTCTAGCTTGGGAGCTGGAGAGAGCCCTTCCCCCCGGTCACTCCTGGGAGCATTGGGTGGACGAGGGCCAGCTCAGATGCTGCTGGATTCCCCTGCCTGTCTCGGTTGGCAGGTGACGATGGTGCTGGGTGCAGAAGGATGCCCGGTGGGAACCACACTTTCCGGCCCAGCTTTCCAGCCTCAAGGTAGGTGTGAGGAGGTGAACCTGGTCCTGTGGAGACGTGCGGCTCTAGACACAGCTAGCTGCTGCAACTTGCCTGCACCTGGGGCCAGCTGAAAGGTGCTGCTGGCCACATTTAGCCCTC